CCTCCTCATCCTCAGACTAAATAAGTGCAGCTCCCTCAGCTGCTGCTTGTAAGGTCTGTGCTCCAGCCCCTTCACCAGCTTTGTTGCCCTTCTTTAGACGTGCTCCAGCACCTCCATGTCTTTCTCATAGTGAGGGGCCCAAAACTGAACCCAGTATCCAGGTGCAGCCTCACCAGCACCGAGTACAGGGGGATGATCACTTCCCTGGTCTTGCTGGCTGCACTGTTCCTGATACCAACCAGGAGGCCGTTGGCCTTCTTGGCCACCTGGGCACACTGCTGGCTCATGTTCAGCCAGCATTTTCATCCTCGAGTATTTCATCCTTGTTCTTGTGTAAAAACAGACTCAGTCAGTCAGTCACCTACTCCGTGCCACTTAGGCTTTGTAGACCTCTGTCAGAGAGATCTTAGTCGTTTCTTTTCCCAGCTGGAGAGTCCTAGTCTATTGAGTCAGCCTTTACATGGGAACCGTTTGGAAGTCTTCCGCTTTGCCTGAATCAAAACCTGCAGCTTTGTCAACCCCAGCTGAGATCACAGGGCAGCGGGGAGCGCGCCAAGACCCAGACAGCTCTGCGGGGAGGAAGCACAAGTCACAGAGCGGCTCCGCCGTGTCCCCCTTTCCTGGTGACACCTGCTTTCCCTTTGACTGCTGTCCTGAACAGCCCTGCCCTGCTTTTGCAGCAGGCAAAGGCGGAGCGCAGAGAGCGCCTTGCACGCAATTATAACAATTCTAATAAGGCCGAACGTCTAAGGAACTGGTGCAAGGGGAACTCTGTTAGAGTTCCACTCGCCGGTGTATCTTCGTAAATTAAGATTTTTAGGACATTAAAAGGATAATGATGCAAATAGTTATTTTGGAAGGGACATCAGGGTAAGAATCCAAAGCTGGGCCGCCACCATGTGTACACGGGTTTTGCTGTGGGGCTTGCCTGCACAGGAGGAGCTCAGCACCAAATGGTGAGCATGCCTTAATATTAACAAAATTTTTGAAACGCGTTTCCACACACGTGTGTTTTTCAGGGAATTTTGGCCCACTGAGGCAGCTCCATAATGGAATACAGGCCCTTATGTCAGAGGTAATCATGTATTATTACAAGAGCTGCTGGCTATGGGGCCCCTCCTGTGTGCACACATGGGTGCATATGGAAGTCATTAACTTATTAAGCTCCAGCAGAGGATTTTGGGAAGTTAACCAGTGAGTCTCCAGAGCACAGCTAAAGGACAGCTTTTGGGGGAGCGGATTAAGAGCAGTTTCCTGCTGGATGCCTATGCCGTGTTGGGGCTGAAATACAAGCTCTTTGCAACCTGGTAGAGGAAACCTCTCTCACACGGACTAAACTTTTCAACTCTGGCTGTTAGGCAGAACAGTTGAAAAAAACCATCTGCAAGCCTGTATAAGTTTCCTTGACATACTGAAATGAGTCAGCTGGAGAAATGTATAACATAACATATAAAAATGCAAACAATTTTCTCCTGTTCCCTGAATGGTGCTAAAGAGGTTCTCAGGAAGTTTGTAATTACTTTATAAGCCTCTTTAGGAGCCACCAAAAGAAATGCTTGGATGCAGGCCACTAGGACCTGCTCCTACATGGAACAGGGCCTAAATTAGAGTCAGGGTGTATGAAATGAGGGCCTTACACTCACCAATAGCAGCAATAGACCTTAGTTTGAAGTCACGCCCCAGAAGTAAACGCTTACATTTTAATTTAGTACATTTAAAAAGTTTTTTTTAAATTTATTTTCCAAAATCCAACCAGAAACCAGCACCATTCTCTGTAAAACCTGCCACATCCAAATCATCAAAAACATTATTTTCCTCCTCAAATGGGGTTCTTTGCTTGCACCAGTCCTGATCTGAAAAGTGACCTCTGCTCTGGAGCAATGCAGAGAGTCACCCATAATGTGCTTTAAACCTTCCTAATATAACAATTCTTGGCAGCGACTCACTGCATTTCATCCACAGATCTCAAATCGATTCGCTACAGCCCTGCATGGAATTGACTTACTCATACGACAGAGACAAGCACTTGCTGTGCAATTAAAAAGGAAGGAACAAAACCAAGCAGATTTTATTTAAATCCAAACAGTTCCCCCTCCCGATGCCCCCCTTTTTATCCTTATGCACAATCCTGCCCACAAACGTTGCAGTCTTGCAGCCCTCAGCCTGCAGCCCCGGTGCGCGTGCCCAGCCAAACAAGAGTAGTTCACAGCCAGGTCAGAGCAATCCAGTTCAAAGGCTCTTCCCTCAGCGAGTTATAACCGC